CTCCGGCATAAAGCCTGGACTCACACACTGGCCAGCCTCTCTCACAGGAATCTCCAACCCACGGGATTGTGATAAGGAGAGAAAGAGGGGGTGTCCTGACCAGAGCCCCCCACCCCAGGCAGGTTCACGGTAAATACTCCTCTTCTGGCAGAAATCCTGTGAGCCTCCTCCCAGCTGCCTCCGAACATCTTGCCTCTGGGAGTCGTAAACTCTGTAACTGAATTCCTTGCAGCCATAAGAGGTTTCACAGCAACTTTATTCTCCAGGAGAGAGGTGGAACACCCCCTCCCTTCTCCAGGAGAGGAGGGGGCAGTCACAAGCCTGTTTAATTTAATTTAACGCACTATGGCTTGCCAGGTTGCCCCTGGTAACAGCTTCAGCGGCTGCTTCAGTTACAATCAGAAAGATTTTTTAAAGAGACAGTCCAGGGCCAGGCACGGTGGCTCGTGCCTGTAATCCCAACGCTTTGGAAGGTTGAGGTGGGCAGATTACCTGAGGTCGGGAGCTTGAGACCAGCCTGGCCAACATGGAGGAACCCCACCTCTACTAAAAATACAAAATTAGTTGGGCATGGTGGCACATGCCTGTAATCCCAGCTACTCAGAAGTCTGAGGCAGGAGAATCGCTTGAACCAGAGAGGTGGAGGTTGCAGTGAGCTGAGATTGTGCCATTGCACTCCAGCCTGGGCAACAAGAACAAAACTCTGTCTCAAGAAAATTTAAAAAAAAGAAGAGACAGTCCATTTTAGAGCCAGCATTCCACCACAGAGTGAACAGCCAACAGAGGTTTCACCACAGGGATAGAGGGGTAAGGTCCAGGCACAACGAGGCTTCTGACTAGATCTGTGCATCCCATTAACTCTGTTCCGTATACACTGACCCCATCTGTAACCCCACAAGCCGTGCTTCAAACGCTGCTCTCAAGAGGGATCTGATGAAGGACTACTTTAGGAATTTGTCACATAGATGTCACCCAGCTAGGTACTTTTTCGAAAATCAATTTTAGTCATCAGGTTGAAAGGGAGGAGAGAGAGTTGACCCTTAGGAGTTGCCCCTGTAATTCAGGCATACTGCCACCAGGTGGTGGTATTGCTTGCTTAGGGAACACCATAACCAGCAATATTCAATAGTACACAGAGTGGTAGTGAAACCGCTGGGCTGTAAGCCCTGATGCTAACTAGTGTGGAACCCTAGGTAAGCTACTTGGCCTCTCTGGTCTCGGTGTCCTCAGATATCTAGTAAGGAGATTGATCAGGATGACTGAGTGTTGTGGACAAGGCTTGAGAATAGGATTACGGAGATATGAGTTCAAGTCCCAGCTCTATCATGTACTAACTGTGTGGTTTGGACATATAATTTAATTTCTTGCCACTTGAATACCAAACAAGAGAATGGCTGAGAGAGCCCTGAGGACAACACATTCGTCTCCAACACTGGGGACCTGTGGAGGCAAGAAAGGTGCCTGGGGACCGGAGGTCCTGAGGTCCTGGGAGCATAGTGGGAAGAGCAGCAGGGTGCCACGGGATAGCTTTAGCCTCCAGGGCCAAAGGCCACATTGCCCCATTGGGCACTGAAACATGCCACAGTGGACAAAGCAGCCTCCTAGAGAACTCTAACCCCACTCAGCTCTACCTAGACCAGGAGGAAGGGAACAGACATCTATTCTGGGCCAGGCACTGCCCTCACAACTCCTGAGAGGTTCATATAATTATCCTCCTTTTCAGACAAGGACACAGCCTGCCAGGGTTAACTCAACCCCCAAGATCGCCCATCTCATACGGCCGGGCCTGCCAGGCACACGAGCCTCAGCTCTTCACATTCCCACCCCACAAGTCTACTACACCTGTTCTCACTGGACGCTAGGCTCCCCTGCCAGGAGCAAGGCAGGGAGAGTGGGTTCTCTTTCTCACCACCATGACTCAGTTGAGCCAACCACAAAACAGAAGAAGGACCAGAGGTCATGGGATTGTTCACATAGAAGCAACCTGCAGTCCGGGCACGGTGACTCTTGCCTGTAATCCCAGCATGGGAGGCTGAGGCGGGCAGATCACTTGAGGTCAGGAATTTGAGACCAGCCTGGTCAACATGGTGAAACCCCATCTCTAGTGAAAATACAAAAACTAGTCAGGTGTGGTGGCATGTACCTGTAATCCCAGTGACTCAGGAGGCTGAAGCAGGAGAATCACTTGAACTCAGGAGGTGGAGGTTGCAGTGAGCTGAGATCATGCCATTGCACTCTAGCCTGGGCGACAGAGCAAGACTCCATCTCAACAACAAAAAAAAAAAAGAAGAAGAAGAAGAAGCAGCAGCAGCAGCCAGGAAGCCTGAGACACCACGTACTCTTGACCCTTCACATGGTCAGGCTTTGACATCACATCAGGGGCTTTCGCCAACTTGGCCCACACTAGGTGCTCCCTAAATCCCAGTCTCCTTCTTTCTTCCTAGGTCCAGTGTAAGTAAAGCGGATAAGGGTATCCAGAGCCCTATCCCCGCATTTTGCTTTGGGAAATGCTCCCCACTTCTCAGGGATGCCCTGTAAGCCTTGAGGCAATCCTCTCTCCCCTCCAGACAGTCCTATTCCCAGCTAAAGTCCCAATATACATATTCCCACCTAAGAAACAAGATTACCTTTCAAGGTGTTACAAATGTCAAAACACACATCAATCGGATCTCGGCATTCCTGAACTCTAGCGTCTTTTTTTTTTTTTTTTTTTTTTAAACAGACAGCATCTCACTTTGTTGCCCAGGCTGGAGAGCAGTGGTACTATCCTAGCTCACTGCAGCCTCAGACGTCTGGGCCCAAGCCATCCTCCCATCTCAGGCTTTAGAATAGCTGTGACTACAGATGTGTACCACCATGGCTGGCTATTTCCATTTTGATTTTTCAGGAGACGGGACTTGCTGTGTTGCATAGGCTGGTCTTGAACTGCTGCTGGGCTCCAGAGATCCTCCTGCCTCAGCTTGCCAAAGTGCTGGGGTTTCAGGCATGAGCCACTGGGCCCAACCCCCTAGCTCTGTCTCCTTCTACCCACTACCCTGCAGATGAGCTCTAAATCCTGACCCTGGGCCTCAGGGGTCCCTCCTGGTACGCCCCTGCTGGCTCCTCCCTCTACCCCTTACCACCAGGGTTCCAGCCCTAGGGCTGCATGCAGACCCCGGCATGGCTTGCTCACTCACCTGTGAGCGTTTGCACTTGATGTCCCATCCTCCTAGAGTGCCTCTTCTCTCCGTATCCACTTGGGTGATTCCTACTTGTCCTTGAGGACCCTGCCCTAGTACCTCCTCCTCTAGAAAGCCTTGGTGATACTCCTGGATTGTATAGGACACCTCCTCTGACTTGCATAGTCCCAGTGTTCCTTCTACTCTAATCGTGTGTTTGGGTCTGGCCTTCCTGCAGGACCCAGAGCCCTAAAGGTGGGACCTGCCTTTCCTCTCTTGTCCTTATTGCCCATCCAAGAGCCACACAGAGAAGATACTCAGGGGTTACTGACTGAGAAATGCAATTAGTGGGGCTGCCTCTGGGTGGTCTGACTGGGACCTGGATTCCAGACTCTGTCTTGATGGGCAGTCACACCAGTTGGTGGGATCTGACTTGCAAGGACCCCTCTCTCCCACCCTTCCTCCCTCAGAATTCATCCAAGGTATCCTCAGAGCAGCCACAGCCTGACCTGCCGGTGTTGGCTCCCCCAGCTCCTCATTCACACACACACTGCCCATCCCCCACATCTCCAGGCCTCTGCTCCCCGAGCCCTCCATCTGGAGCCCACCCTCTGTAGGGCCAATGTGACTCAAGACCCCCTGTAAGCCCACATTCCCTGGCTGGGAGTGGCCTGCCCATCCCCAGCACTTCCTCTGTACCACTCACATGGCCTCGATCAGATCTGGCTTCCTACCACAGCTACTGGCAACCAAGTGTGGGAAAGAAGCATGGGCTTTGTAGGCTGACAGATGGGACTGAATCCCAGCTCTGGCCCTCAAAAGCTGTGTGACCTCAGGCAAGTCACTTTATGTTTCTGAGCTTCAATGTGTTCCTCTATAAAATGGGGATGACAGCTACCGGATAGGTTTGTTGTGAGATGGACAGGATGGGTGTCGGGATCCGGCACACGCAGGGACTCAGTCGTGTCCTGTTACTTAAGCCTGAGTCTGCTTCCCCAGCCAGGCTGTGAGCGTGTTTGGGTCAGAGTGCAGGTCCCATTCAGTGCCACATTCCCAGAGCACCCCACACAGGGCCTTATGCCGTAGGTGCTCACAAATGCATTCACCCAGCTGCTGGGTATGGTGTAGAGAGATGATGGGTCCCCCTCCCCCACAGCTGAGGAGGCCACGGGGGGAGAGAGGGTTATCGAGTGCAGAGTGAAGCCTCCAGTCGGGGACAGGAGATGAATGTGGAGGGAGGGGCTGGAGCCTGAAGGAGAGCTGCTGATATGCACTGGGGGTTTTATTGGTTTTCATTAAAATTCCTTCCCGAAGCTGGAGCAGCTACTGCCATAAATAACCGCATAAATATTTTATCTGGTGCCCAAGTTGCACAGCAAGGTTGGCAGGAATAATAATGGCAAAACAGTTCAGGGGGGTTTTGGGCTTCAGCTGAGCTGGGCTCACTTAACATGCCCAAAGAGGCTTTCTCAGGAAGTGAAGGCTGCAGGGATGGCACCAAAGGGGGAGGCAGGTGGGCATGGAGAGGGTGGGCAGTCGGGTGTGCGCCCTGGTGTTGGGGTGCCTATGGAAGATGGGGAGAAAAATGCTCGCCATACCTGCTCTCGGATGACCACATCACTGGGAGCCTTCACAAAGCCTCTGTAGTCAGAGAAGTGAAGTGACTTGCCCAAGGCCACCCAGCCACTCATGGCAGAGCCAGGACTGTAATCAAGGGTGTTTAAGGTCAAAGCCTTTCCCGCTGTGCTTGCTGCCTCTTGGAGTTCGGGGAGAGTGGGAGTTTAAGGACCATGGCCAGAGTACCTCAGTAATGGCAGCGTGGGCTGTTCTCTGCTTCCCTAGATCCCGATGGAGGAGAAAAGGGGCTGGTATTTCACCATGGCAACACTCTACATCAGGTCAGGCAAGAGGGGGGTGGGGGGTATGGGATGGGGGAGGGAGAGGTGTGACCTGGCACCCACCAGCAGGGCAAGGGCAGAGGTGGCTGGACCCATCCTACTGGAAAGAGATCCTCAAGGCCTCCCCACCCGCCATGGGGCTGGGCAGGGCTGGCAGCACATAGGACAACCGGGAGGGTGCGCTACCAGCCACATCTCCTTCTCGGCCACAGACTAGATGGCATTCTCCTGGAGCTGGGCAGTGAGGAGCAGAAGAGGCTGCCCGCCTTTAACCGCACCCTGGCCCTGCTCCGGCAAGTGCTCAAGTCTGAGGACCCCCACCACCGAGGTAGGGCTCAGGGGAGGGCGGGACAGCAGCCTCTGCCCCCACCACCAGCCCGCTGGCATGGCACCCACCTCTGGCACTGCCTCCCCCTCTTGGCTCCTGTTTCTTTCCCCCTCGCCCTGTCACCTACACTCATCTGTGCACCTCAAGGAGCCTTGCCCAAGTGAACATGCCAACTACAAGTCAGTGTGACTGCAGGCTTCCCCTCTGCCACTCGAGACCTGGAGGGTGAGCGGCAGTTTACCCCATTTCCCCTACTTATGGTCAGGAGATTGAATCCTCTGTTGGAGAGGAGTCATTTTTTTTTTTTTTTGCACAGCCAGGAGTAGAACCACCAGAGCCGATGAGAGCTGAAGTCAGAAGAGACCTATGTACCTGAAATGAGGTCCCCCCGATGACACATTGAACATAGAATAAGCACTAAAATAGGTTCACTAACCCCTCACGTGGCCCCTCTCTCCACCGTTGCTTCTCTCTGTCCCGGGTTTGCCCTCAGTGATCTCACACTACTGTCCCTTGCTTTGTCTTCATGGGTGACACCTAGGATGGAGATGGCCCCTTCCCTCTCTCCACCCTGCTGCCTCCTAGAGACCCTCTCCCACCCTTCACCCCCAGCCCTGGCCTGGTGCTACCTCGGAATGCTGCTGGAGCGGAAGGACACCTTCTCCACCACCCCCATGGGCATCCACGACTGTGGGTACTCGGGGACCGACCCTCTGGACTGCTTCGGCAAGGTACGTGCCCTGGTGCCCCAGCCTCTCTGCCCAGAACACAGGCTTCTCTGGGTATCATCCCCCACCTTGTGGCCCACCCAGGAAGTACACCTACTCCAGACATTGCTCTCCATCCTCTCTTCATTCAATACAAAAGAGACCCTCCCCATATCCAATCTGGTCCCACCCCATTTCTCCAGCCTTGAACTAGACCCTTAGACTTTTTCCCTCAAGACCTTCATTCACAGTATCCCCTCTGCCAGGAGTGCCCTACCTCCCCACCCCCAATGGCATAGTAGAAAGATGGGTTTAGCTGGGGTCTCCCTGCCAGCCCTCCCCATAGGCTGTGTGACACTAAGGCAAGTTGCTTACAACGGGAAGCAGTCAGTGACAATAGTAGGGGTAAGTGCTATCACCAGGTAGAAACCCTGTGCTTTGTAAGGATGGGGGAGGGGGGTTGCCTCTGGCGCTTCCTCTCATGTGCCCCAGGAAGACGGGGAGCATACACTGGGAAGGAGGAGTCTGACTGGAGTCTGGAAGGCTTTACTGGATGTGACGGGTGATGTCGTGGGTCAGGCTCTCAGGAGTTGAGTGCCGATGGGTTGTGCCCCAAGATGTTGGGTTCCATGATATGACGATTTACTGACAGGTGGGTAAGGGTGGCTATGGGGAAAGGCACCATGGTGATATGGCTGTATCCAGAGATGGGGTTCCTGTGATTCAGTACCATTTAGCTCGCTGTGGCTGACAGCCAGGCAAGTGGTTTGCTTTTTCACTCCTGCCTTACCTAGGCCATCGAGATTGCCAAGAACCAACCGCCCGTCCTCAATCGCCTGGCCAAAATCTTCCACTTCCTAGGAAAGCAGGATATGGCCATTGGAACCTGCAACATGGCCCTGGATGCCCTACGAGATCCTGAGCTCAACTGGCAGGCGTACTGCACACGGGCCAAGGTGGGTCAACCTGCAGCCCACCCTACCCTGCCATCGGGAATTAGAGAACAAGGGCCAGAGGCCAAGACCTTGTTGCCAGGGCCCAAAGGTCAGGGAGTCCCCATGGTGGAAGGGAGCTTAGGAGCCATTAAAAAACACAGTTGGGTTCTATAAAGTTTTTGGTTTGTTTTGAGACAGGGCCTTGCTCTGTCGCCCAGCTGGAGCATGGTGGTGCCATCATGGTTCACTGCAGCCTAGGCCTCCTAAGTGCAAGCAATCCTCCTGCCTCAGCCTCCCAAGTAGCTGGGACTACAGGTGCACACCACCACACCCGGCTAATTTTTGTTTTGTTTTGTAGAGATGAGGTCTTGCCATGTTGTTAAGGCTGGTCTCAAACTCCTGGGCTCAAGCTGTCCTGTCACTTCAGTCTCCCAAAATTCTGGGATTATAGGTGTGAGCCACTGCACTCAGCCCTGTAAGGTTTGTGAGTGAAAGAATGCAGGAGCCTCCACTCACTGCAGGAATCCCTTCTACAGTGGCTGGTCAGTGAGCCACCAGACTCTCTGTATTGGCACGGGTGGAATCAGACTGACCAGAGTTGAAATGTGGCCTCTGCGCCTTGTGGAACTTGCAGCAAGCCACTTACCCCTCCAAACCTCAGTTCCCAAATCTGTAAAATATCAATAACAACACTTTCCTTAAAACGTTGTCAACAGACTCAGTGAGGTGGCATCTAAAGCACAGTGTCTTGGACATAGGTGCTTTTCTGACAGGCAGTGGAGGTCATTTAATATAGTGGATCAGAGCTCTGGCTCTGAACACAGACAGGCTTGGTTCACATCCCACAACACCACATGCTATGGGACCTTTGGCAAAATACTCTTGCCCAGATTCTGAGCCTCAGTTTCTTTATCTGTAGACTGGAGATGATAATACATCTCGTAGAGCTGTTATGAAACTTAGATTATGTAAAACTCAGCATCAAGCACACAGTGAGATCTCATAGAAGACTGACTGCAACTATTCTAATATTAGGTATATTTTTTAATGGTCTCAGTGTCTCTTGATGCAGCCCACCGCATAGTTATTTAGCTCTGCAAGTTACACACTTAGGTGAGCGTTGTCTCCCGCTAGCTTCCCATACTAGTCCCAGACCTTCCCGCTAGAGCCCACACAGAGCCCATATGCTTGAGGAAGCAGACTCAGAGCTCCAATGTTAGTTCACTGCAAGACGAAGAGTCCCCCCATCCCCTCATCTCCTCTACTACCTTGTACATGACCCGGTGGCAAATCTGCTCCCAGTCTTGGTCTCAGTGGCTTAATTACTTTGCCAGCAGGTACAAGGCAGGAGTGAAATTCCTTCACTGTTGTTGATGTGGTTATTATTATAGACACTAATGATATTAACCATAATAGTAAATAATAAAATATTTCTATAAAACCCTGCATTTCACCAAGCACTTTCATGTTCGTGGTCTGATTTAATGTTCACAAGAATCCTGTGAGAGAGGCCAGACATGTGCCATTCTGCAAATGAGGCCACAGAGGACTAGGGAGGCAGTGAACTTCCCCTAGGAACTGCATTTAATTATCAGAAACTCCAACTTTACCCTCCTCCCTCCATCACTATCTGCTGTCCTATGATCCTGGCCTCTCTGTGGCTCCAAAGGTCATACGTACTACTCAGATGATGACCAGAGGAGCACAGGATGGTGGAGAAGAGATGGTGAGGAGGAGGGAACTCACGTTATCTGTGTAAAAGCTTCAGTCCTTCAGTCCATGCTGCGGCCCATAAGCACGGCCCTGGCCCATGACCTCTCTACCGTACCTCCCTCTGCTCCTGGGCCTCTGCCTGGAATGCTCTTCTCCCAGATATCCGATTGGCTTCCTCCCTCACTTCCTACTGGTCTTCTAGTGGCCATCTAATTGAAAATGTTAAAGCCTGGCCAACATTTAATTTATTAATTTATTTCTTTTTAAAATTCTTTTAGAGACAGGGTCTCACCCTGTCACCCAGGCTATAGTGGAGTGGCGTGATCACGGCCCACTGCAGCCTCAAACTCCTGGGATCAAGTGATCCTCCTACCTCAGCCTCCCAAGTAGCTGGGACCACAGGGGTGTACCACCACACCCGCCCAGCTAATTTTTAAAAAATTATTTGTTATAGAGACAGGGTTCTCTCTATGTTACCCAGGCTGGTCTCAAATTCTGGGCTCAAGCAATCCTCCAGCCTCAGCCTCCCAAAGTGCTGGGATTATAAGCATGAGCCACCACACTTAGCCACCGCCAGCATTTTATGTTCTCCTTTCCTGGTTTAGTTTTCTTCTTAGCACTAATCATTCCCTTACACACTATTCACATCTTTATCATGTTCATTGTCTCTCTCCCCCAAAGCATAGAAGCCACTTGAGGGCAGGGATTTTTTGTGGTTTTCCTGTCTACTGTATTCTCAGTGCCTGCAACAGTGTCTGGCACAGAGGAGGCTCTTAATGAACATTTGCTGAAGGAATGAATGAACTGAGCACCTGCCATATGCTAGGTCCTGGCTAGAATATGTTCTTTCAGTCGTCATGGTAATTCCCCAAGGAAGACATTCATGTACTAATTTTTCAGATATAGCAATTCGGTTCATAGAAGTTGTGGAACTCCCTCCAGATGACATGACTAATAGCCAGGGGTTAAACGGAGGACTGGAATTCAAACCCTAGTCCAACTGACCCCAAATTCAGAGAATCATCTACCCCTGCCCTCATGATGCTGCCTTGTAACCAGAGCCCTTCTGATGACTATAAAGCATTAATACCTTCAACGACAATGACCCCCTTTCCCTTGCTTCCTCCTACCCACCCCAACCCCACCCTTCCGAAACCTCCAAACTTTGTAAATCCTCTAAGTGTGGGGAAAATAGAGGAAGTCGGGAAAGCAAGGGTCTGAAATCACTTGTAATGTGACACTTGTCAGCTGGGGCCGCCTGCCATTCTTCCCAAACTGCTTGCTGACATAGACTCACAAAATCAGTGCTGCCATCCTACCTAAAATAACCCTCCCCGATCACCTCTATCCTGTTGTCCTGTTTATTTTGTCATAGCACTTACCACTTAAAATGCCAACGTTTACTACTGACTGCCCTCCTACTGGAATGTTAAGTTCTACCAGAGCAGGGACCTCATATATCTTGTTACCACGGTACCTCCTGTACCCAGCATAGGACTGGCACATGGTGGGCACTCAATACATATCTGTTGAATGAGTGAGGGGCTCTTTCTTCATCCTACCCACTCATTGCACAGACAGGGTAGCTAAGGACCAGAAAGGAGGTGTGGCTAGCCCAACTTGGTCCAAGAGTAGGACCTAGGACTCCTGGGTCCTGGCCTCAGGGTCTTTCTACTGCATCGCAGAACCTCCCTGGTTGTTGTTGAAAAAAGGACTGGGTTCATTTAGAGCAGAGAGGAGGGCAGAGGCCCGTGCCTGGATCATCCTTCCTACACTGGCTCTCTGTTGGCAGATCCACATCAGAACCTACCTGCACGACCTGGAGCGGGCCAAGATGGGTCTCGGGGGCATGCCTGACAGGAACCACCTGGCCTGTGCCAAGGCTGACCTCGAGGAAGTGGTCAGGGTGTGCCCAGGCTTCAGGACATACCTGGACATCGGCCAGGTAAGGCAGTCTCTTGGCTTAGCGAATGGCTGAGTAAGAATCTGTTTATTCCCTGCCAGGCTAGGCTTGGGCACCGAGGAGACTGAGGAAAAATATGCACCCCTCATAACAGCTCCCACCCCCTCCAGCCGTGGTGAGGACTGAATAAGGCCTGGCTCTTCTTCAGCACTCGAGGAAGTGTGGACATTATTCTTTATCTAGAAGATGTCTATTCTCTATCTGTGTTCAGGGAATGACCACCACCAAGTGACAATATCATAATTTTAGATACAAGAAAACCGAGATCCGGAGACTCACTCAAGATTACATGGCTAGGTGTGAAGGGGCTGGAACTGGAATCGGTGTACTCTCTTCTAGAGGCGCAGAAATAAAACGTGTGATTCATCATTGTCGATGGAGGGAGGGTGGGAATGAATGAAGGAGTGGAATTTGCTGTTGTTGTTGTTGTTGTTGTTGTTGTTGTTGTTGTTGTTTTGAGACGGAGTTTCGCTCTCGTTACCCAGGCTGGAGTGCAATGGCGTGATCTCGGCTCACCGAAACCTCCGCCTCCTGGGTTCAGGCAATTCCCCTGCCTCAGCCTCCTGAGTAGCTGGGATTACAGGCACGCGCCACCATGCCCAGCTAATTTTTTGTATTTTTAGTAGAGACGGGGTTTCACCGTGTTGACCAGGATGGTCTCGATCTCTTGACCTCGTGATCCACCCACCTCGGCCTCCCAAAGTGTGGAATTTGTTTTAAAGCAAGCGTGGGGTGGGAATGAGCCGGGGGCCGCGCCTGCGGTGAAGGGCTCACCCCGTGTCCCCCACCCCAGGTCTACTACTACATGGGCGTGGACGCGGTGCAGGAGCTGCTGGCGGTGGACGAGGCGGCGCTCAACCAGGCGCTGGTGTTCCTGGCCAAGGCGGGCGAGTCGGAGCTGGGCGCCGCTCTGCCGGAGCTGCAGCTGCTGCGGGGCAAGTGCCTGCGCATCAAGGGCGAGGACGCCAACGCGGCGGCCTGCTTCAAGCGCGCGGTGGAGCTGGACGACGCGGGCTCCAGCCACACCGAGGGCTTCGGCTGCCTGCTGGAGGCGCTGCTGGCGCAGTGGAGCCAGGCGCAGCTGAGCGACGCCGAGCTGGGCCGCGAGGTGGACGCCTGGCTGCGCCGCGCCCAGGACAAGTACCCCGCAGCGCGCCTGCGCCAGGAGCTGCAGCGCGTGTGGCGCGGGCACACGGACGAGGTGCTGGGGCTGGCCCGGGCCCTGGTGGCCCAGGGACGGCCCGCGCTGGTGCGGCTGCTCTTCGAGACCATGGAGCGCGAGGGCGAGGCCGCCAGCGCGCCGCGGGACCGCCGGGCGGTCTCCTTATAGGGCGTGGGCGCCCAGGCCCGAGGCTCCCAGGGACCCCGCCGCGGCGCCCGAGGCTGATGGGGCCAGGTCCGCACGGCCCCCCTGCCTTCGGCTGGCCGGGGAGAGGAGCCAGTTCGAGTCTCTGTCGGGAATTGTGAATGGGGACGTTGCGACACCGGGCGGTTTGAAATATGCCCACCCAGACTGGAGGCCTGATTCGCCAGAGCAGGAGGGGCTGGGAGCAGAGGTGAGAGAACGCCGCGAAGCTGCCAGCTGAGGGACAGAATCTTCTAGACATACAGGTAAAATAAGGTGGTTGTGAGGCTCCCGAGAGAAATAGAAGACACGTGCCTCAGTGTGGCCGTTTTCTAGTCCAGGCGCTCAATCCCTCAGGTCTGAGCGCCTGTCCCTGGACTCCCGTGGGCCACACTCTGTCCTCACGTGAAAGCCCCCTTTACTTGGCTGGAGTGGGGTCTCAGCTCCCGCAGCCAGAAAAGCTCTGGCTAAAGCAGAGGGCGAGATTGCACCGCTAGTGAGTGAGGGGACAGGACCTAAGCCTGGTGCTCAGGGCGCATTCCTGCCTCTCTGCCACTCTTCCAGGAGGGCTCCTCCGTGGTCAGCTTGGCCGGAAAGGCCTCCCAAACGCTCTGAAATACAGCCCGTGAATAGAATCTTCACTTGACTTCCCTGTTCTTAGGGGAACCTAGGGGACCCACCCATTAGGAGGTGCCACCTACCCCCAATCGTTTTTTTTTGTTTGTTTTTTTTTTTTTTTTTTTTGAGAGAGTTTTGCTGTTGTTGCCCAGGCTGGAGTGCAGTGGCACGATCTCAGCTTTCCTGGGTTCAAGCGATTCTCCTGCCTCAGCCTCCGGAGTATCTGGGATTGCAGACGTGCACCACCGCGCCTGGCTAATTTTGTATATTTAGTAGAGATGGGGTTTCACCATGTTTGTCAGGCTGCGTCGAACTGCTGACCTCAAGTGGTCCGCCCACCTCGGCCTCCCTAAGTGCTGGAATTACAGGTGTGAGCCACCGCGCTCGGCCCTGCCCCAATCTTAACCATCCTACCAATTCTAAAGAAAATCTTGGAATTTTACACTTTTGGAATCATAGTCATATAGAATTTTT